GGTTCAAGAATACAGTTCACGAAAAAGCTATATTGAGGTAAAGAGTTTCAGATTTTTAACACACCAATTAATGCCATTCATCAAAATTTTAACAGCTCTTTAAACTCGAAAAAATATTTTTCTCGTAACTTGCACAAAAGTTCGTAACCAAGTAACTAATATTTTGTTAAACGCTACTAACTAGCGCAATGAAATAAAAATGTTTGCACAAATTCAATTTTTAAAGTGCTGTGAATATTGAACATTTTGACGCTTTACTTCGTTGTATTTATTGTATGAGAAATGAATGGTTTTTGTTTTAATTTTTGATGTGTACCATTAAATTAGATCTAAAAGTAAGAACTTACCAATATAGTCCATATTATTACATTATAATAATGTTTAAATAACAAAAATGAAAATTTTGTACTTGAATTTAAAGGTCTATATTTATACAAAATTGGAAAGTTTTTCTTGTAATTCACACGTTTGTAAATAATTATTAAATAGTATATTTAAAATTATGTCAAAAGTTTTAATATTGAAGTTTGATTTCTACAGAGGCATTTGTGTATTATATAGCTATTATTTATTTGCTATGTTTGGTGTTAGTGATTAGAATTGAAATTTGACATAATAAAACTAATTTTATTATTACCTAGAGTTAAAGTGAGACCTGACATTGGACATTAAACGTAATATTAAAGTGTTGTTTTAACAGTTTCATACACAAAGTAGTCTTCGTGTATATCGTAATCATAATATAATATTATTATGGATATTTCAAATAAACTGTTTGATGTTATATATTGTATAAATATAATAATTATGTATGTTATTCACCGATAATAAATTTACACTTAATAATCTTTATACAAACGATATGATTTTAATACATATTTAAATAATATGTAATATCAAGTGCTTACACGTAGTTTAGTTGTTTGTTAGGGTGTGTAAAAATGTATGATAATGATAGTATATTGTATGATATAGTTTCAGTAGATTGGTGTTTTAAGCAATGTTAGGTCGTTTTAGATGTAGGAAGGCTTTTACTAGTATGAACTAACTGATTTGATAGTGAGAGTTCCAGTGTCCACGTATGACAAACATTTATAGCACACAGCCACAGAACTTTCATGAAGAGTACATTACAATTGGAAACTTCACGATCAAATTAGGTTTAACTAAGTATCCTACTTAATCAAATATTTAGAATTGTGCAACCTTCAGATAAGTTAACTTAGTTCACTACAAAAGCAATGGAAACATATTAAAATTTGATCATAATCCGGTACAATTTAATTACATATCAATGGAATTAATCTCCGTTTTAGACAGCAGATATTGAGATTTGTAAAGTGAACATTCAAGTTTGTTAAACATAATAATATGTACCTCAATAATGTTAACATCATTTTTACAGGCGTCAAAGTAGAATTTTTTAAAATAACTTTATAAGTACTACCTATCAAATATGCGACCGTAATGAAATATTTATACGTCCAGTGAACAATGAAATAAGTAATTCCTTGTTTTTCCTTTACGAACTATTTAAAACATCTTACATTATATTAAATAAATTAGCGGTTAATTCTAGAAAATTATAGTAAAATTTGAAACGTAGATGCAATAAATTAATTCCTTATTAGTTGTAATTTTGTAGTGAAATAATTTGAATATTCTTATGTGTAACAAATCGTTAGATTGTTGTGTCAAAATGTGAAGTACCTACCTACTTAATTCTGCCGTATGATTTGGGTCAATCTTTTATCTACAAGATCGTGTATTGTTTGCGATCAATTTTTTTAAATGTTTAATAATGAAATGTATTCGTGCGTTGATTTCACGAATTATTTTAAGTCCATTTTTATTACTTTGCGATTTTGTAGAGTCCGCCCTGTTCATCATCATGATGATGATATTATGCAGGGTGTAAGTAAATTTTCTGAAACGGAATTTTCTACTGATTATAATAGTTCAAGTATTCCTAGGCTATTCATTGCATCCTGTATAAAAATAGTGCTGTTAACCGATTGAGTCCCAGACGGCATTAATTAATGTCATAACAATTGATTGTGTCTAGATTCGCGGAGCTTGAAGGATTAAATGGATTCAGCACAATTTTCAGTGGCTTCTCAACAAGCTGACCATCTGATTATAAAAGCTGCTGCTAGCGAATATTGTTGGTAATTTTTTCCCATTTTCATGGGGCATGTCCTTGATATTAGGCTCTAAATTACTTATGATGCAATAAGGTCTAAGGTTCGAGAAAGTCAAACTAGACCATGGGCACCATGGCGATGCTAAGAGGAAACATTAATGTAATCTCTTTTTGGGAAAAGATTGAAGGATTGGTTTTAGTAATTAAACAATCCCTCATTATTATCAACTATTAGTTCCGTAATAAGATATTAAAAAATATAGATTGTTTGTAGGCACTGTCCTTATCAAATAACCCATGAAATAAGTTGTAACTTCAGGCAAAAGTTAACAGATTGACATCTTAGAACCTAGCCATGTATTATTTCGCACCCCCCCTGGAAGAAGTATGCAAGTCCACTTGTGCGATATTTTTTTTATTGCACTAAAAAATCGAGGAGGAGGTAATACATATTGTCAATTTTTTTCATAATTTTTCTCTTAAAAATGAAGAAATTATGTACAAATATGTAAAATATTGCAACATTAAAACATCTAAATTTCCATAGCAAAAACGAAGTAAATACATTTGCACTTAATTGTTTAATAAAGTTCCGTGTGAATAATAGCATATTAATAGTTACGTACATCTTCCACGAAGACTTTAAAAAACATTTTCGCGTATCTATTGTTGCATACTTATTTTAGGATATTATTTGGTGGGTATCGTAGTGCAAGTTCAGTTGCGTAGTTTTTCCACGAAACTTTTGAAAATTATAATATAGTTATGCAAAATTATTGTAACTTTTTAATTTTGAATAAAGCTATAATTTTAAATACAACCATAAGTAATGTAATTTTTCACAAGGTAAAAGTACGTTATCCTTTTTACGAATTTACTTCAATACGAATAGTTCGAGGAAAAACTACGTAAACTACACTTACACGTTGAATGCACGACTAAATCTGAACGCCAATAAGTGGTTATCTGCAATAATACCAAACAGCATGTATTCCTTTACATGTCAACAATGCAATATTCATAATTACAACAACAAGGTGTTAAATATGTTTCGCGGAATAAGTACGCAACGCTCTTTTTTAAGTTTTTCTCAAAACCTATTAAGTGTATTTTAAATATAAATACATAGGCCCCTCACAGACATTTTTAGCTATCTTTTGATGTATAACACATATTTTTAATAATGGTAATAAATTTTTAGGACAGTTTTTTACGCTCCTGAAAAGTTGGCATTTTTCACTTGCGTACTTATTCCAGGAAGGGTGCGATTTAACCGATTGTTATTTATGAGCTCTTATTAAACCTGGCTGAATACCTATTTATGTCTGAGTCATGCTATACACCAGTTACATGACAAGCTGACCGGGAATTTAGGGTTCAGCAAGCTCATACAATTAAAAACATTTTTGATCCATCCTAAAACATTTAGTCCAGTTTGAATAAAATTTACTGACACTATTATTTTCCAGGCACGCGCACGTAATGAAAGCGTGATAATGTAGTCTCTTACATTTGTGTGTATATTGCGTTACAGCTACCTAATTGTGCCTAGTTTTATTGCTTACTCACATCATAGAATGTAAAATTCAATTTACTTAGCATCACGGTTTATGTAACCTACAGTCAAAAAATATTTGTCAAATGAAGGGAAAATACTTATGCCCGTTTTCACCATCAATCCCTAATTTTTAAGTGATCCCTATGGTAACAAATAATATGAATTTTGTTTACATGGGGGTCACTTAAAAGTTAGGGATTGATGGTGAAAACGGGCATTAGTAATATACTAATTAGCGTTTCATTACGACACATCATTGGTTATTAACAACCATTAGTGGTCGTCATCACTCGTGTAAAACTATCCTATTGAGCTACTACTAAGTTTACTAAAAGTTCCTGATTAAATTATCAAAGGTATTTTCTAGAATCATATTAATTTTTCAAAGTTATATACACCTACTTAAAAACTGGGTAATGTCAAAATATCAAGGCAATTTTTACACGAGTTTGAAAATGGCGACAACACTTGGTATTTCAAAATGTTATTGGATTCGTAAAACATAAAGAAATAAAAATTATTTATGCAGACAACGTTTACCTGTGACTAATATTATACTCGTATACTAGGTACAAAAATGCATTGACATAGTTTGAAGAAGAGTGTGAAAATAGTTGTTTTTACAATTGCAATATTTTAGTCAAATGAACTATGTGATACAGCATTGAAATTAAATAAACTTATTGAATGTAAAATAAACGTTGTTTTCTTTTCGATTAAATAAAGTACCAAGGGTAAAGAAAAAAACAGTACTAGTGAACTGAATGATGGTGATACACTATGTCCAATAATATGGTTCTTACGTTTAGTTCGACTTTTCTACCTCGTTTCTTACAAGGAGTTTGAAATACCCTTAGGTTCTGGTTTCTATTTGCATATTTCGTATTATGTTGTTCATATATTGGTTGATCCAGTGTCTAAGTGGCTCAGTTGGAAGAGCAGTCGCCCGGCAAGCGAAAGGTCGTGGGTTCAATTCCCGCCCTAGGCAGTTTGATTTTTCAAGTTGTTTATTTAAAATTTGTTACAAATATTTATTCTTCATTGTGGAAGAAGAAGGTGATACTGAGGTCACCCTCGTGTCTGAGCTAGCTTAATTGGAATAAGCAAAGAACAAATACAGAAAGTAAAATACACTACTTTGAATGTCTGAAACTCTTCAAGAAAAGGTGCTGTATGTAATTATCATTAATTTAAATAATTCATTAATTTGGCATAGGCCGATAAGTCAGTATTTCTATTTTAGATCCTTGCTTACAACTAAAACCAGTGCCTCTTTTCTAGTTTCACGTGATTGTAATATTTGATACAAAATACTATTGTTTTTAAACAATACAAAACAGACCATGTCATAACGAATTAACCATGTCGATCCAGATCTCAGACGAGACATCTTAGTAAACATGCTCTTTTGTTCATAACGCGGCAAACAAGACACAGGACCTGTAGTTTTTGAGAAAAAATGGACCAAGAATTCATAAGTGATGCCAAAAATCCCAGAAAAATAAAGTGGACTCCATTTTTAAGACAGGTATAGAATAGATTTATTTTTAAAGTAGGAAATGCATATTAAAATCAGCGTAATTATTTTTAAAAATAGAAGTCGGATTAAAATTTTATTAGTTTCAAAATAATTATGTATACCTAAATTGTTTTCTAATAATGGTTATGTAAATAATTTCAATGTCTGACTAAATATGTATTTATTCAATTAATGTCATTTACAAATTTCCGTGAAAAACAGTCCTATTTCCGTAAATAGTTACATTTTATATTTTTAACAGTCAAAATATAATATTAATAGAATCATTTGCATTGAATGAAATTGAAGAATTAAATATTTTAATTTCAGATCCAAATGTTTTTTACATTATGTAGTCTCTATTTCGTTTCTGGGTTGTTTTTGGGCACCCCCACCGTGGCTCGTGCCCACTTATCCAGAGACAACTCTACGGCTGTGAGTGACAGTATGATATCTTGGATCAGTAAGTACCTCCTGGCCTATACAAAGTGTTAATGAAAAAGCGCAAAACCTGAAATTAGTTTTTCAGAATCGAGTGTATTAACATAATAAAATTCTGTTTTAATAAAATTAAGTTGGGGTGTCTGAGGTGTTACACTTTTTCATTAACTCGTTCTAGGTACCTATGGGTTGGGTATTCCTTTCATTAAAATTATTTCATAACTGAGATGATCCCCTAGACGTTTGGTAATTTTTCCTACTCCTCAACTCGGCACTTTGTGATTCATAAAGTCCGGCATGGGCCGGATAGCTTAATGCAAAATTATACTTCAAGTATTTTTGTTTTGAATTATTATTTCCTTCGTGACTTGAGTTTCAGTTCACCACTTCAATAACTTGTTACTCTTTAAATCCATAACAATTTTATATTTTCATTTTCAGATTCCGTAAATGGCTTATCATCACCGATACATATTCTTATTTTGAGCTACCCAGCACACTATTATGGACGAAAGAAGGCCTTACATTTTATTGCGATGCTCATGATTGCTGCATCTACTTTGGTGTTCTTCAGTTACAATGCTGTTCACATACTTGTCAGTCAGTTGATGTACGGAAACTTACTTACGGCGAGTATGACGATATTACCAATGATATTAAGTGAATGTTCCTCTATAAAATATCGTGGACTTTTTTATACTCTGAAATCAGCGACATTGTTTTGGGGGATATGGATAGCAAATGCAATTGGAATATTTACACACTTCAAATATATTGGGCTGCTTGGGATAGTGATCTCCACCTATGCTTTTGTTAATTCGTTCATTTTGCCAGAATCTCCTTACTGGTTGGCATCTCATGGCAAGTATGAAGAGAGCATGCTGACTCATCGCTTGTTAAAAGGAAATTCCGATGAAACAGAAAAAGAATTGCATGATTTGTTGTCTATGCAAAAGCAAAGGGGACGAAAGGAAACTTCAAAAAAAAGTATTAGATCATTGATTCAAAAGTACTTTAAGATCATGAAATTACCTGAAGTTCGTAAGCCACTTGCACTAAGTATTCTTGTATTTTTATTGTATGACTTTTCAGGAAAATTAATTTGTGCAATTTACGCGGTTGAATTAATGAGACAATTGACTAGCAGCCAAACAGAAACTTATGTGGCGGTGTTGATTTTAGATGGTATTACTATCGTGGGCATGTATATTGGTTGTGTCACATCAAGATTTCTTAAAAGACGCACCATGTTACTAGTTAATTCAAGCATTAGCGTCATATTTCTATTCATGATTTCTCTATATTTATATCTTGTAAAATTAGCTGTTTTACCACAAAACTCATACATAATTACAGTGTTGTTAATTGGCTACTCGTTGGCAGTGTGTTGCGGTCCAATGATTTTATCGCTTACCATTTTTGGAGAGTTGATACCAATGAAGGCTAGGAATTTCTGCGTTTGCTTTTGCTGTGTAATATATTACGTACTTTCAAGAACAATAGCAAAACTTTCATTGTTAATGTTCAGCTACTTTGGTATTCACGGAACTTTTTTGATGTTTGGTATCAGCTGTTCAGTATGTCTTATACTTGTATATAAGTATCTGCCTGAAACAAAAGGTAAAAGTTTGTACGAAATAGCGGCTCTATTTGTAAATAAAACCGAAGAAAATGCTGATATAACTATTTTAGAGACTAGTGGCACTCCAATGTTGATTGCTAGAAAATAGGTAAACAAGATAAGAGAAATGATTTTTGTACAATGTATTAATAATTATACGATGATAATTTAAATATGTTTACTTTTTTTTTTGAAAACGAACTAGTTATTTTTTTACACACTCACCCGTACTACACCTTCCTTGTCAAGGTCAATTGAATGATAATTGGACCTTACTATTGTAGAATACTACTAGTATTGGCTGGTGAAAACAGAAATTCAGAAGAAAACATGGTTTTATCGAAATGATACCCAAATGAGGTATTTTTAAATTGATGTAGTTATCGTGACTCTACCTATTTTTTATTCATTTTAAGATCGTTAAAAACCTAAGGAATGATGTCATCAGTATAAAAACGAATTGGCTTCTGAACATACTTCATTGAACATTATTCTAAATCTATTTCTGTGCCTTTAAATGTAGATGAAAAAAATTGTTTGTGTCCAATTCAAAATGGAAATAGGGGATAAAAATACAAATCTATGGTGTACAAAACTAAAGTGGACCCCGTTCTTGAGACAGGTAAGTACTTTTTTGTATTTTACTTCAAGCATTGACCTCAAGATCTGAATGATTTCAAATCGGAAATAATTCCTACAAAAGATTTTATTGATTTAATGGCTTCATTGGTTGCCCATTAAGACTTTCCTAGGTTTTCGACTTCGACGGAGTTGTGCTTAAGTGGTGGGGGCCCCCGAAAGGGGCGCTTTTTAGGTTTTCCGGTTATACCGCGTAAAGGACTTACCCTATAGAAAAGTGGTCTTCCTGACGGTTGAAGGGCATTTAATCCTGCATTAAATAAGACCAAATTCATATGTTTTGGACAAACCGTTCTCGTGCAAATGTTCGGCAAAGTAGAAAATATGTGTATAATTAATGACCCTCTCCACGTCCAATAGCTCGTCACCCGTAGTTGTGCCCGTAGGCTCCCAAGCCTTGTAAAGAGTCGCCTCAACCAGCGTATTCCTGTCAAGGCTCACGAGTTGGATTCGCTAATCCTTGTTCGTCCCAGCCGTTCCTTAACTGCGGTTGCTGCACCTCTTCCTGGCACTCTTCTGAACGACTCTGTGTTACCTAATGTGGGTGCCCCTCTTCCTTGTACCCTCCTGTACGATTGCATTGCTTAGCCAGCCATATAAACTGCATCTCACATAACATCAGGTGTCAAAACTCTCTGGCTGATGATAAAACAACATCTAATTGTTGTCTAAATACTATAATATAAAAATCAGCTTTATAACGTAAGTAGAATTACAGTTGCAGTCTAACGAATGAATGGATGGATGGATGATAGGCTTACCTTTTATTATCTTAATGAATATCGATTGGGTAAAAAAAAGTTTCATAAAATGTAACTTTATTTTCAGATCAACGTCTGCTTTACACTATGGGGTCTATTTTTCGTTTCCGGTTTTACCGTTGGGACTCCCACAGTAGTCATTCCTCAGCTTATAAGGGAGGCTAACTCCACTAGCGCCGTCAGCGAGTCTATGCATTCTTGGATCGGTGAGTTCAATCATGTTTTGGGTCATGTTACTTATTTTGAGCTTTAGTGGTAGGTCCTACTTACTCAAGAAGGATGTATCATATTTTATTCTTTTCCAGGTTCAGTAGTCGGCTTCTCAGGAGCCTGTTTCTCTTTTATTTATACATTTACCGCACACTTCTTTGGGCGACAGAAAACAATGCTCGTCACATCGGCCATCACGTTTGTGGCATCTGCATTCCTCTACTTCAGCACCACCGCCATACACGTGTTCTACAGCCAAATGCTATACGGGAATGTAACTGGGGCAGCGTTTACAGTCTTCCCGTTGATATTCACAGAATATTCATCTACAAAATACCGTGGAATCTTTCTTACTCTCAAATGTGCAACTTTTTTTTGGGGAATTTGGACTGCAAATGTTATCGGTATATTCTCCCATTTTAAATATATCGGCTTAGTTGGGATCATTATTTCGTTAAGCTGCTTCATAAGTTCCTATTTCCTGCCGGAATCCCCTTACTGGTTGGCTTTTAATAGCAAATTTGACGAGTGTATAATCACTCACAGATTATTAAAAGGGGAAGACGAAAACGCAGAAAAAGAATTAAGCGATCTGATATTTAAACTTAAAAAGAGAATACAAGATAAAAAACCGAAAATTTTCGTACAAAAATATTTTTTCAATTACGTGAAGATAATACGGCAACCAGGGTTTTATAAGCCAATCGCAATCAGCTCGCTGGTGTTTTTGATTTATCATTTGTCAGGCAAGTTGGCGTGCGCCGTGTACGCCATCGAGCTGATGAAGAAGCTGACCGGCGGCGAGGCGTCCGCGCACGTCGGCGTGCTACTGCTATATGGTGCCAGCGTGCTTGGCATGTACGCCGGGAGCGCCGCGTCCAGGGTCCTTCCTCGGCGGACGATGCTATTTGCGACCTCGACAGTAGGCGTGGGCTTTTTATTTTCCATGGCTATTTATTTGTTTCTAGCCAAACTATCTGTTATATCGGAAAACCCATACGTCATAACTGTTTTACTAGTAGGCTATTCCCTGGCAATATGCTGTGGTCCTGCCATCATGGTGACTACCATAACGGGAGAGTTAGTACCGATGACGGCTAGAAGTTTTAGTGTTTCTGTGTCGGCTGCACTGTGCACCACGTATTATGGCGTGATAATAAAAACTGCACCATTAATGTTTAAATATTTCGATATTCACGGATCTTTTTTGGCGTTTGGTGTTAGTTGTTCTGTGTGTATTATGCTGGCATATAAATATCTACCTGAAACGAAAGATAAAAGTTTATACGAGATAGCAGCGCTATTTGAGGAACCGAAAGAAGAAATGGCAGAAATCAAACTCTTACAAAATACAGCACCTAAAAATTAACAATTTAGCTCAACAACGATCAACTAAATTGCTCCTTGAAGTCATTTGCACATTAAGTACGAATAAAACATTTGAAAGAATGTTTTTCTTTAATTTATGCTCATTCTGATAAGGTTATTGCACTTTTATTCATTAGGTAAGTAAGTAATTACAATGTGACTAATTTACTTAAATTTCGAAACAAGAGGCACTACGCGATCGATTGAAAATTATCATATTGTTAGATTAGAACTGGTTTAGCTCTATTATACAGGGTGTTAAGTAAATGGGTATATGAGCCGACACTAGCCCATGTTAACATGGGCATATAAATGGTATGGTGAAGTCAGAAATTTGATATCATTTTTTTTTTCATACAAAATAAATTTGATAAAATCCGATTTGTATGAAAATTAAAATAGGTAATTAATATGAAGATATCAATTTTCTGACTTCGCCATACCATTTATATGCCCTTGTTAACATGCGCTAGTGTCGGCTCATATACCTACCCATTTACCTAACACCGGGCCTGTAGAGCAAGTTAATTTTGGATCAACCACGGGTTCGTTAATAATTTTGATCTGATAATTTACACATTTTGTGTATAATTATTATCAGATCGTAGATTTTTGAAATTAAGTCTACTTGATCTAAGTCTCCACTGACGGTAAACCATGATGTTAACTTTATAATGATAACTCAGTAGACCTATTTGCTCGAGGCACGATATTGTTATATGGAAGACAGCTGTTAGAAGAAAGTTTTAAGAACTGAACAGTTTTGTGCTCACCCTCTTTTATGTAGGCTGTACTCAAAGTGTAGCTAAAAGCATCCATCGATTTGGTGACAAAAGCTACAGATTGCGGCAATCGCAGCCAATTTGAACTGAGGAGGCGTTGGGAGCCACTTATCGGTCAACCACCTCGCCTGAAATCGGATCATTGAAATGTAAGTATACGTAATGGTTTCCTTGCTGGAGAAGTGACAGAAACTCAAATAAAAAACAATAGAACTTTTGAAAAGTACTAAGGTTTGGCTTGTATTGGTCTCAGAACTTACCCAGCATTGAGAAACTTCAATAAAATATTTAATAATACTTTCCTAATCGTAAAATAATTAGTGAGAGCAGGACGACATACACTGACGTTGTTGTTTTACCGATTCCGAATTAATCAAGTTACTTAGGTAAAATATAGCCGGAAGATCAATAGTGAGTCTTCTGACTCGCACAATCCAGTGAAAGCTTTCGCTGAGATCCAAGCTTCTGAAGGGGTTTTGGGACTTCGTTAAGAGATAGCCTTAATTAAAAATATCCCCTAATGATTTCTTCGTCCATGTTGTCAGTGATGTGGGGTCAATAATCGTTTATTTTCCATTTATTCCTCCCTACATTTTATTTTTCTAAGCCAATAATTATGATGATTAGGGTAGGAACTTCTAAACAACAAACTACTAATAACAACTACCCGAATATAAATGGTTAAGTACTTCTTTATTTTTTTCATAAACGGCACCTAACGGCCGACAAGTCAATATTCTAAGCAGGTTTGAATTATCTGAGTGTCAAATGAAATTGTACAAATATTGTGCTTCATATCATGATAAGTTGTCCTTTTGCGCCTATGTGGAAAACTGGGAAAACATCGTCTATGTGGACGGCTCTTGAAGTCTAACACCAATAAAACTGTCACAAACGTAAATAAGTAATGCGTAAGTATTCAAGCCTAATAAAACCCGCTACCTTTATATTAGCACCCAGAAGTCGAATATTATATCGACTTCCATTTACACTTTCGAATAACTAGATATTATAGAAGAAAGTAAAATCTGCATGTTCGTCTAGGTAATCATGTAGACTTCTCAAACAAAATGGCACAAATTATAATTTGTAACATTTATTTACATAGAAATTATAAAAGTAGTTTTTATCATTTATTTTTATCAATTAAAAAAATATCACAAACCACAGATTAGATATAAATAGTCACGTGGCGTCTAACCTTAAAGAAATCCGATTCGAAATTTGAAATTCATAAATTATTGAACGAGTTTTTTTTTTCAAACAGAAGCTGTATGCGCAGGCTGTATGTCATTTCATTCCTTTGCCATTGTGTTTTTTTTATGGCGCGCGTAATGGCCGCTAAGAAAATTTATTGTTTTGACAATAACATTTTGTTGTTTTTATTGAATTTTTACCTCAGTCGTTAATTTATTAATAGATGAATGTTTAGCATGTAATTTCGTTAATCAAGTGTATAATTATGTGACTTTCATAAGTGATTATTATGGAATGTGGAAATTATAAAAATGTATTGTGGAAATGTTTTATCTTGTAAGTTATTGAATTATTATATTAGTTGTTTGCTTTGTTTAGTTTTACATCTTTTCATAATGTTGTGCCTTTAAATAAATAAATGATATTAAAGTTTGTTACCTACGATTGATCGTTGAGATTGATCTCAAAACATACAATGTTGCTACCAAAGCACACAGGGATATTTTTGTTCCAAAGTATAACCTATATTGAGGTGAAATTGTGTGTGTTTGATAAATGCCGTGGTCTCTCCTTGATTACATTACTATTTCTATAGGAACAAAATGGAGGCGGAGCGAGTCGCAGGCACTTAGGAGCAGTGCTGGGAGTGGGAGCCGCCGCAGCAGAGAAAAGGTATTTATTTTCTTAAAATATTAACATATCACCAAGGTCGTTTTATGTTAGTTATCACACTTCAATAATAACAAAGATAATTTTCCTTGTCAAAAGTAAGTCGGTTCTTTTTTTTTAATTAGTATTGTATTTCTTATAATCAACCTAATATTTATTACATAAATATTTAATAATTACATAGCTTTCTATGAAAAGCTACTTACTGAATACGGGATCAGAATATGGGTTTAAGGTTACGTGATTGTAGGTTACTAATTTTACACAAATACTTGTATAAAAGCTCACAGTCTATTACATTAGGTATCTACTACTTATGTAATGCAGCACTGTATTTTAATTTGTTTTTAAAAAACCTTGAATTAACAATTAACTGGTCAAGTGCAACTTAAAAAGCTCTTAAAATAAAATTGTGACCATCTTGTTTGCTTTTTAAATATGTTCTTCTAAATTGTCCAAATAAACACCGGAAAGCAAGTGCAGTAACAAAGTAGGGTAACGATTTTAAAATCCGCCTCGGGCCTTGGAAGCCTGCTCATGACCCAGTTTTGGGGCGCGGCGCGAGGCCGGTGCATCGTCGGTGATGGATAAGCACTTGAATTCGGTACATTTAATAAAAGTGGGCTTTGAAATTCCTTATTTTAACTAAAATAGGAAGACACGGGTCTTTACTTAATATTTTAGTTGAAATGGAACGCGAAAGTTTAAAATCTTATATTCTTTATTGTACCGAGTGGACCTTCTTCTGAGTATTTAATATCTAGATAGCTTGCCTACCACTTTTCAAAATCGTGAACAACTAACTACCTAGTCTGGTGTTAGTGTACCGAACTACACAACACCAGTTAATACGCAAACTGCATTTGTAGAAATTAGTAGGCGAACGGTACAAAATAACGTCATGTGGCTACGGGAAGATAAAATATCATCTTAGGATGGGTTGCATCACGTAACTTTAACGATAACTAATGCTTTTTGTATGGAATTTGAAAGACTTTTGACGTTTATCAAAGTTAAAGTAAGATGGTGCAACTCAGCCTTAGTATTTCTGAAAGTTTCAGTACCTACATAGGTACTTTACCAGAAGATTTAGGTACTACTTAATTTACTACTACGAAGGTGCCCGAACAACTTATTTATTTGTTTATTTATTAATTGATGTTTACACCTGCTTTACATGAACGAACACCATATCCATCCGAACTAATCTGTCTTTCTAAGACAATCTCAAGCGATTCACGGCGAACTCCACTGGAAATTGGTCTGTCAGGCACAATCACAAGACACGAGACGTTGAGCTCCGATATTATGTAACATTTGGGTGGGCGTAAAGGTCCTGCGCACACCCGGTATTCAAAAAAGTAGAGATTGCCGCTAAATATGCTTGTGGTTACAATCTGACATGTTAGGACATAATCAATGCCTTTGGAGGCCATCACGTGGTTTTAAGTAGGAAACACAGATTAGATAGTTGTAGGAAGGTAATGTTTGGTAGCATTTGGTTGAGTTACCAAATATTCTTAACTCCACGCTAACGCTCAGAAGTTACGAAGAATAATCAGGAATGTCTATTGTACTCGTATTATGCTCTTACTTTTGTCCTTTGATTGAAATAAGTATGTATAAAAATATATTTTAAATATTGTAAATACACCTAGTCTTAGATTATTTTATGTATTTACCCCTATTGACGTAATAGGGTTCTAATGCGAGAAAAATAGTCGAGGTTGTTACACTAAATAAACATACTAGTAAGATAAGTACTATGTTACTTTGACTTAGTGCTTAGAAGCTGATGTTGGATTGGTATACCTTAGTCTTCCACTCATCATCTTCACCAGCGTACTCCCGTAGAGTCTTCAGGGAGGCATCGATCGGGATGCAACAGGGACGGGCGCGGCCGTGAACCCGTTTTTAGGTCAGCCCCGGCCACGGCCGCCTGGTTCCCGGGGCGAGCTGTTTTAATGCCCAATTTTTACTTTTTACCTTCAACTGTCAAGCCTGGTGCACTAACTAACTGGCCTGCGTATCTGCAGGGACACGATAATAGGAAAAACTTTTTAGGATATTAAATTTTTTTAACCACATTGCGGAAACTTTTAGACTGCATCTCACCTGATGAAAAGTGATGATCAAGTCGAAGATGGAAGTACTAAATTATTTATGAATTTGTGCTTGTGTTATTATAGGAAAACCATTACTGCTATGTAGGATTAAAGGTGAGTATTTCGAACTGACCTGCCAATTGCAACTGTAGACAGCACTACAGCTGCAAAATACAAACAAACCAGCCGTACAATACAGGTGCTGCACGTGCTCTCTGCAGTTGCAGTTGGCAGCTCTGTTCAAAATAGTATCTATGTTTAGTCTAGCGAACACAGTTAATAG